TCGTATTTAGAACTTTTTATGACATTTTCCAAGTAGACTTTACTTAGTATACTATTATTAGTAGTTCTCGATCACATAGTCTATTCTTCGTAGTACCTTATTATTGCTAATATGATCCGCTCATATTATTTTTACTATTCTTCGAAATAACCTTAATTAAAATGATTGAAACTTGTTAATATCTGTTATTTTTTTAAAGTTCTGGTTTCCATGGTATAGACTAATGTTGATCAAGCAGCATTTTAGAAAATATATGGGACGCTTCCACATTTCTTTTGCATGTGGCGGTCAATAAACCAATCAAACGGTCTGTAGCGTTATTTGGTAATTTAACCATCCTGCAGCTATGAACCTTTCACAAAATAACGAATTAATTACAAAATTATGTTTTATACCAAAAACGTAAAATATAAATACCACGTGCGACCTAGTCAGTATCAATTCTATAACTGATTTATTGATATAAAGTTTTTAACTATTAATAGCAAATTTAAATGTGTTTTTAAAATATATTTCATTTTAACAAAAGAAAAAAAATTAGCTTCAAATAGGTAAGAGCGTTGCAGAATGACTAATCTCAAATACATATACAAAAATTACAAATATTAATAAAACGTTAGTACATTATTTATTATATATCTATAATATATACCATACATGAATAATATATTGAAAAATTATATTACTAAAAAATTAAATAATCAAAAAGAAAATGTAATCCTTTTCATGTGACAACATCTTTACTTTTTATATGACGATATATATTTGCGTATAAGGAAGAATTGTTATAATTCTCATTTAGTTTCCAAAAAATTTTTATTTGGTGCAAACAGTACAAAGATATGTTTAAGTTTATTTAATATAAAATATTTGCAGAGCAGTAGTTACGTAACCCCGGTATGAAGGAGACCTGGTATAATAGTTATATTATTGTATGACATATGCTGTAATAAATCAGGAATATGTATTAGTTAAATACTATAAAGTAACTCATATACAAAAGTCTATATGAAATATCTGTATGCCACTTAAATTATGGGAACATTTAAATTAAAAAATTAAAAAGAAAAGATAATACTTTTCATGTGAGTGAACAGCTTCTATTCAGCTAAACGAGAGCATATAAGTAAGGAATATACCTTACTGGATACATCTAGTTGAATTTCTCCTCCAAATTTTTATTTTTTTATTAATTTTATAAGATTTTACTTTACTAGTATTTCTTCAAAACTTCAGAAAATTTTCAATATTATATACTTGTAATTAGTTTACGTTTAAAAGAAATTTTTATAATGAAAACAAAGTGAAATCATTTACAAATCGGACAACCTTTTGACCTTATCATCTCCGATTTGGCCCCTTTTATTAAATAAGAAATATAAAACCATGGATATTTGACAATTAACATTGTAGACACAATTTTTTAAAATCTTATATCTCAGGCTCCATAAATGATAGAAACTTAAAATTTATTGCATTTTAAAGCTAAATGATTCATTTTTTAAAAAATAGTTTTAACAATTAAGATTGTTCATATTTAAGTGCTTATATTCAACGTCAAATTTCAAAAAAAAATATTTTCCAAATGTTTCTCAAAAATTTTTATTTTTTATATTTTATTTAAATTTAGTATTAAATCTTACTGGGAAATAAAACTTTTCAGAATGACATTATTTTTTATAATTTTTTAAAAATTTTTTTCCTTCCGCAAAACAAATCAAGCACATATATACTTTGTTTCCGATTAATGAATTTTCGAAGAATCTACTAAAATAATTTTTATATATTATTTTTGATTTCATTTTTTAATAAGATTCTATATAAAACCCAAAAATTTCAGAACGGTATTGTCTTATAAGTATTTTTTAAAAATTTATTTATCCTTCACCAAACACATACACACGAATTTTTACTAAAAAAAAAGGGAGGAATATATTAGAAAAATTTTTATTTTTAATTTTTGATTTGAATTAATTTTGTTTCTGAATTAAATTTATCAATAAATTCTACATAAAAATTAAACTTTTTAGGACCTTCTTGTTCTCCGAAATATTTTTATTAAATAAATTAGTTTCGCATCATCTCTGTTTTTAAGCCAATTTTTTTTGAAAAACGCGAGGTACTACTTTCAAAAAGGTTTATTACGATACGCTTTGTGTACCTTCGAATTATAATAGATTTTTTCCGAGTTTGTCTTAGGTATGCATTTTTTTCTCTTAATATCACCATTTATCCTTACATGAGGAATTTGCTGCAAATATACATTTTTAAATAATAATATTCGATTCTATTCAATTTATAGATTACAAAATACTCGTGAGCTAATTGTGCCGAAAGCTTTTTCGTTGTCGATAAAACATAGCAATACATTTTTTAAAGCCCTGACATTTTGAATTAAAACTTTAATATATAGCAAAGCTTCTCGAGTTCCAAGTACTGCTCTAAAGCCAAATTGTGATATTATTATTTCTTCAACATTTTTGCAGTAAATTTGATTTTAACGTCAATATGACAATAATGACTATTTTCACTTTAACAGAAATTGTGGTATTTAATAGAGAAGTTTCGAACAGTAGTGAGCTACAACAACAAAAATTATTTTTATATTATTTTTAATTAAAATTCGGCTGAAATTATTTTTTATATTATTTTTCGGTTGACCATTCGAGTATTGCCAAATACTTATCATCATTGGTCTATGAATTATTTCTTATATTTAATTATTCGCAAATAATTTTTTTGAGACTGCAAGTACCAAGGGTTGAACTCGTGTCCTGTCAATTTTGATGCTCAGACTCAGCGCCATATATATAGATAAAATATTTTAATTGAAGGTGTCATGTTTGCTATGTTTATTAGTTTTAAAATTTCAGATGACACCACAACTATCCATACTCTTACCACCGACTTTTATTTATTCACTTCATTTACTTAATTAATTTGATAAATTATTTGAAAAGCTACTCTTTAACATATGACCTTTATATTTTCTCCCTCAAGAGTTATAAGTTGTAGTCAATCGTTAATATGTTTCTCACTCTTGTAATATATATTGTATGTTTATAAGTACAATATCAGATGTATGGACAATGTAGAGAGCAATATATATGTTTATAATAATATATATGTTTATAATAATATATATGTTTATAATAATGTATATGTTTATAATTATATAAACATAGATAATAATATCTATATTTATAATAACACAGATAGATAATGTGCCTCGAAGCAAATTTATCTAAAAGTACTGTATCTCATTTAATCATAAGTTAAAATTGTTAATGATGATGTTAAAAGACATTTTTAATAATTACAGAATTATTACATTACAGAAAAGCGTTCTTCTTTATTTTGTTTTTATAAACTTTTCAAACTGCTTATGACATAAATTGTTATTATTATTATTATTGTTAGGGGATGTAGCACTGCGACCGTGCCCCCTTCTGGGCTTAGAGTAGGTCTTTAAGCCCTGTTGCATCAATAAAAAGTAGTATAGAACCTACTTTACAGAGTGTTATTGCCTCTTCCGTAAGAATATACATTCCTAGGAGCCTATTTCGTATGTGCATTAACGCAGAGCATTCTAACAACACATGTGTAGCCGACTCCTCATTCTCTTCATAGAATCTACAGTTTGCATCCGTAAGGTGGTGTTTTAGTCTACAGTACCCTGTTAGGATTCCAGTGATGATTCTAAGTTTTTCTTTTGATAGGTTCATACAATCCTGGTATCTCTTATTGTTATAGGTATCAATAAGTGATTTGGATTGTTTTAATCATGGTATATTATACCAGTAATCCTTTTCATTCTGGTTCTCCTTTATTTTTATGAGAGAAAGGAGCGTACTATTTCCTAGTCCACAAAAAGGTTCCGGCCCCATCATCGCTGTGGCTGCTCCTTTTCTGGCTAGTTTGTCCGCATATTCGTTTCCGCGTACTCCAGTATGTCTCGGTACCCAAAGAATCGACACTTGATTTGTTTCGCCAAGCAGATTTAGCAAATCAAGGCAGTCTAACACCAGTCTTGAGGTCACCTGATGCGAGTATGACATAAATTAGTATGGAAAACTTAATTCAATATTTACTAAACTATTTTTTTGTAATTTACTTTCAAAATGAATAATGATCGGCGTATTTTTGCATTTCAGTCGAGCGTTACTGAATATCCATCAATTTAAAAGTTAGAAGGGTTCGAATAGAAATGAAAAGACAACATTTTTTTTGTACAGTAAAAAGCAACAGTGTGAGACATGAACCCACTGCAACCATCTTTTAGGAATGAATAGATAAAATTTCCATAGCAATGTGGAAACTTCATTCCAGTAATCACGGGAGAGAGATGGGAACAGATAGGGTTAATAAAATAATAAGAATTATAATAAAACAAAAGTTTTAGTTAATTAATTGAAATTTGTTTGACCATACAACGCTGTTTCGAGTATTGTGAAGTACATATCTTCAGTGATCTTAGGAATCAATCATGATCAATTTAATTTAAAGTTTCTAATTTAATTTTTATTATTTTATATGAAAAGCAGCGCTATATACGATCGCCTCACTCGCTAAACCGACATTTGCGGAGATCATTGATAAAATGCGACTATGAGGTGAACTCCCATTCTCTATTTCCTCATTCAATAATTCCATAACGGAGTTTAAATTATAAGATAAAAATATTTTTAATTTGTATTTGAGTGAAACACTTTGACTAAAAATTGACAAGAAATTGTTTCGAATATAATAATTATATTGTCTGCAGTGTTAATTGCATGTATTATAAATAATAGATAGGTAATTTGATACACAATTACAAATTATCTATAAAATTGCTTTAAATATGATTTGTTATTAAATTTTTTTAATTATAAGAAAAAACCGCTTGAAATGTTGTACAAAATCTTGACAATGTTAATTGAATGTTGTGGAATGAGCTAAACTTGTTTTAAACTAACATTTAATTGCAACTAAGATACATTTTTGTTTCTTTTTTACAGATTCAATCGTATTTTGCCTAAGCAACGTGATTGATCATACTATAACTTAACAAAAAAATCAGTCATCATTGAAGTTCGATCGGAACAGTACTAACAAAACATAAATGATATCGGCAAGGGACAAGTTTTTTGCGAGCAGTGGCTCATCTACGTCTGCTTTAGGTTTAGGAATTGAAGTAGTTGATACAACACCCACATCCGTTTATAATCCTACAACGATGCCACTCAGCAATGGTACAACCGATAGTAAACGCACCAAAAGTACAACTTTCACAGTTACAAACACAACCGTTCCAATGACGCAATCGCATCTTGGATCATCTAGTCAAACACAGGCTGTATCAGCTGTATCAGCGGAAGAAGAAAATGATCCGAATAAGCAAAATGGTGTTGAAGAATTGGATCGTATACCGTTCTCTAATTTGCCATCACGTGATCCAGTCGATATGGAGTTTAAAGATCTTTCATTGACCGTGAATATGGGTTTCACAAAAGGTAAGTCAATTTAAATATTATACTCTTATATACTATACATAACCAAAATCATAATATTGGATACAGATATACGATAGCATTAATACTAGTTTAAATAATTTAACAGATTTGTTTTTTTTTTTTAAATATAACCTGAATTCTTCTCTTGAACACAAAAACTAAGATGAGATATTTTAAGTCATATATTATAGATGATGTTTACTAGTAGCTGAGAAGGTCAAAAGGTGCATTTTGTAAATAATATTTATGAGTTTATTTACTTGTTAAGTTTCTTTTAAATTATTTTTATTTCATTTAACTTAATTAAGTGAATACATTTTATAATTTATAAACTACATTCAATTAAACCAGGTGTAGGTAATTAAATTCGTTTGTTATTTTAATATCAAGTAAAGTGGCTCGTGCAAGGGCGCCAAAAAAGGCAGAAACTTTTTAATGGGGGAGTTTTTGAAAACTATTTCAAAGTCCATACGAAAACATTTAATTTAAAACATTTCATTATATACCATAAAACGTTAAGTGGTCCACAAAATTATAGGAGTGATTTTAAACCCCTTCTGCCTCTATGTGCGATTATCATGATTTTGTAACAGATTCAAACGATAAAACGCTTCGGTCGTGGTTCTAGTGACTAAACTCTACTAAACTCTATTCCCTTAATTTCTAATATAATAAAGCTTCGCTTACAAGATAAACAGAAAGTAAGATATTAAGGTTAAATTGCAGACAAACTGAATTAATTGTGTTTTTAAAAAAAGAATACACTACCTGTAGTCTAAAACATGCAGCTGTAGAAATTCTACAACATAGTGAAGACTTCTCGATATAGAGACTTTAAAATACATTGAACTCATATTACACAAGAGACTTATCTGCTTACTTAATGTAAAGGATAGAGTAACTGTGGAAATTCTACATTTGAGTGGTGGAGTCTTGGAGATATAGAAACTTTGAAATACCTTGAACTCATATTAGACAGGCGACTTACCTGCTAACTTAATGTAAAGAATGGAGTAGCTGTAGAAATTCTGACGAAAAATTGGTCAGTAAAGTTGGAAATTAAATCCACAAATCATATACTGGCTCTACACCACTGTAATCAGCGGTGTAGATAATATATTTGATAATAGTAAAGTAGCCATCAATATAGAAATCTACATATTTCAAGCTATTAAATAACTTTATACAAATAACAGCTTTTCTGTGCTTCGCCGATGACTTAGGAACTGCCTCAAATAAAGCACTGGAAACGCTCCACAAACTACTTACACTAGATGTAGTAAAACAAAATATGACTGCGTTAGCATCGTGAAAGAAACTGTGAAAGAAACTGCAAAGCTGAAGAATTTACCAGACGGGGTTCAAACGAAACCGATATTGGAATACATATCACAGCCTCTAATATATTTTTAAAACACAGTCTGGCTTAAAAAACCAATAGAGCTTGACCAAATTAAAACACTTAATACGGTTGATACTTAATAGGAATAAAACATGTGACTTATTCTGTCTACCAAGAAAAAAATATCTCAAAGATCGTAATCTTAGGCTGCAAGGTTTCTTCCATGAATATTGTAAATCTGAGGCAAAAGGAGGATATATCTCGAAAATAGATGAAATTAATTATAATGAATTACTATTTCAATTGTTCTGTACTTCTATTACTCTGATAGCTTTCTTCAACTATAATAACTCAATATGGGCAATACATTGCCGAAAGGAACATTTTTGCTGTTTTAAATGAAACTAAAGTGATATATAGGTAGTGTTGGTAATATCACCTAATAAATAATATTCCAGACCAAGGTATGTCAGAGCTGGCCCGTACCATCGATCCGTGAAATATTGTGTTTTTATGTTTAACGATAATATTTTACCATTTTTCGAGCAGATCCTGAAATCACATTAAATATTTTTGTCGGTGTTCATAAAACACTTTGAATATATCTCTGGTCCGCAGTTTTGGGCTGAGAAATATTGTTCTAATATAATTCTGTCTAATTTTAATTCGTATATTTTTGTCGGTGTTTATAAAACACTTTGAATATATCTCTGGTCCGTAGTTTTGGACTGAGAAATATTGTTCTAATATAATTCTGTCTAATTTTAACTCGTATATTTTTGTCGGTGTTTATAAAACACTTTGAATATATCTCTGGTCCGTAGTTTTGGGCTGAGAAATATTGTTCTAATATAATTCTGTCTAATTTTAACTGTATATTTTTGCGGTGTTTAAAAACACTTTGAATATATCTCTGGTCCGTGTTTTGGGGCTGAGAATATTGTTCTAATATATTCTGTATTTACATTGTGACCGAAAGGTTTCCGGAAATTTTTAAATAAAACGCAAAATTCTTAATCTTCATCAATATTTATTTTATCTCCTTCAAAATATGCTCCATTAGAAGCGATACACAAATGCCAACGTTTCTTCCAATCATCAAAACATTTTTTATAGGCGCTTTCCGGTATGGCTTTGAGTTCCCTCTGCGAATTCTGTTTTACGTATTCTATGGACAAAACGCGTTCCTCTGAGTGGTAATTTGAGGTTGGGAAACAGGAAAAAGTCACACGGTGCAAGATCAGGTGAATACGGTGGCTGTTCGATGGTATTTATTGAATGTTTGGCCTTAAAATCGTTGATAATGTTGAACAAATTGAGGTGAATCGGAACAAGCCGGGCGTTGACACGTCGCATACACAAATTGTCCACCAAAATCAAACGAGCCATCTCACGACCGATGCCTAGCTCTCGTGCTATCTCTCTAACACTCACATGAGGATTTTTGAACACGATTTCCTTTGCCTTTTCAATGTTTTCGTCGGTGGTAGAGGTCGAAGGTCGTCCAGAACGCGGCATGTCTTCGACGGTCGTACGACAGTCCTGAAAGGCTTTGTACCACTCATAAACTTGAGTTTTCGATAAAACTGATTCCCCATAAGCCTTTTGTAGCATTCGCAACGATTCTGCACACGAAATTTCGTTCGAAAAACAAAATTTGATGCAAACTCTTTGTTCAATATTTTTTTCCATTGTTTTTTTCGCAACGCACTACTGAGGTGAACTGGTTTCAACAGCTGCCGTAAACGAACTGTCCGACAGATCGCGCTCATTTTTGGCATAGTAATTAAGGACAGTGCTGCCAAACTACATAAACTTAAAATATCGAAAAATATACAGCGCGCGAATTTTAAATGAGAATTTCCGAAAACTTTTCAGTCTTAATGTATATCTGTTCATTTTGTGAGAAATATGCTTTTCCATTTACAATTCCATTCGTGTTTCTTTTCGTTATGATTGATTTTCAGTTGTGTGTCCAGGAGGTTCAAAGAGGATCCCTCCTTTGTTAATGTTACTTATTTTTCAGTGAACTGAAAAAATATTGCTCAGAAAATATTTTGTATAGCCTCGCCCCTTAGCACAATCCCGGCTAAGCCACTGCTACAACTCTTGGTGTAATTCTTTAAATTTTGTGGATCTATAAGCAACAGCACTATATACACTATCAACACTGTTATTTATTAGAAGTATAATCTATTAAAGTGTATAATCTAAGTGTACTTATTTTCGAGATTCTATGAACATTATGCATTTATTAATTAGTAATATGTTTAGAGATTGTTGCAAGTATATATTAGTTTAATAATTGAATATGCTTATATCGTTGAAATAGTTTTTCTAGTTTTAGTAGGATTACTAGTTTTGCTTATAAATTTGAATTCCTTTTTTATTAGTTTTACTATATAAAAAATTAAATTTCAGTAAACAGATTTTGCTTTAAATTCATATTTTTAATCAAATATTTTATGCTTAAATACTGCGTTATATAAATATGGATAACCTGAGAACGTCTAAAAAACACGCATAATAATTAAAAATTATTTTTGCTACACACACTCACACTTAAGGAACCTATTAGAATTTATTAAAATTATTTTTAATTAAAAAATAATTTATGCAAATAAAAACAAATAATGCTGACAAATTTTTAATTAAACGCAACATGGAAGCGGAAAAAAAATTGTTATTTAAACCACCACAAAAATGCTGTTGGGTCAGTAATATTAGATTCGGTAATGTGGAACAAAAATTGTCCCAAATTCAGTGATGGCAATTTTGTGGGTACATCATGTGAAAATTAAATGAAAATCAGAATTTAATATGAGACAAGCAAGGAGGTTCGCAAATATTTTGTTTAATATTTGTACTAATTTCTGCTCCAAGGCTTGCGTAGGAGCACATTTACGTATTACATATCCTTTCAATTTGTAAGCGAAAAGCAAAAACCAGCAATTTTCCTAAACAATTTGCAATCAATTGACATTTAATAAAATGCGTACAAATTCCATTCTAACGCAAACAAAGTGGAGCAAAGCTTCCGTCGCAATCCAGTAATGGTACATAAGCTCGTAACAATAACAATCTCAACAACGGTAACATTAAGGCTACAACAGCAACAGCAACAGAAACAGTAACAGCAACAGTAACAATAATAATGTGAACAATTTTAATATTCATGGAGTAACAAAAATTTCGTGGTTAACCGTAAATGTCATTTGAAATTTAACATATTTTTATGGCTACGTATATGGGCACGCCTACATATGAGATCTGGAGAATATTGAGAGATTCGCAAGTGTGTCGGTAGTAAATGAGTGGATTCCATGAAACAATAATTTCAGATTGAAGGAACTAGTAGAACCAATTATGATCACTTAGCATTATGATCACAGTTAGATCTAACTAGCCTAAAGTAGGATGAAAAACTGCGGAGGACACAGCAATGTTGTCTAAAAACTTCTTATAATTCAACGGCAGATATTAAAAAAAACTAATACTGAATTAATAATATAATATACAAAAATGTTGATGCAGGATCTATATGATATCTATGAATGAAATATATGAATGTTGGTTTCAAGTTGTTGAGTGTTATGATTTAGTGATTACTATAAACCTGTGTGTTTAAGCTAAGAAAACTAATAGCAATAAACTTTAATTACTTCATGAGTAATCGATGTCCTTATGTTGCAAAATTAATGATCTGGCCAGATGTGGTTAGTTTAGTTTGAAATGGCATGTTTATGCTGTAGAACTCAATTGAGCTCAAATAATATCAAGGAAACTACAGAGGAGCACTTTTTCCGAATAATACTATTGACAACAAAATGAGGTAGCATATCTAGTTGATAATGTTTTTCAAGGTAAAACTTAAAATGTTAAAGTCTGATAACTCAAGAATATAGCTATGTCTGTCGCCTGACAGCATAGGAGAAAAGTTTGCTCAGTATAGACAATTTAACCAATATCCTTCAGTTAAGTCGCATATGAAGTTATACGGACTTATAGTGTATCGAATAACGTTGAAAAAAATAACTGTGTTTAAGAATCCAAACAGTTGCTTGATATAAATTACTTAAGAAGACGAGTGCAATGCACTAAACCCTTTGATTTGTAAATGTAATCTCAAAACATTCTAGGGAATATAAAGGATATGTTATTAAATATTTTTTAATTAAAAAAATAAATTTCGTGGTCAAGCCGGTGTGATCGGTATCGTGTAAATAAATTATTGTAAATAATAATAGTGTATATTATTATTTATAATTTATTTCTTTGTGACATTGAAATTGTTAAATCAGTGATTTTGTAAAGAAACAATTTTTGTAATATATAATTTTTGCCTACTGTCGGTTTTATGGTGCTGTTAGCTGTCATTTTTTTATGAAATTATTTATTTCTTTTCTGCTTTTTTCTATATTAGTGTTACAATACTGTTATATTGTATTGTACCGATGCCATAGTTTCCTTTAAATAATCATGTATAAAATAAATGACTTTTATACACACGTCTTCAAAGGATTTTTTTTTATGAACATTTTTTCTTTCTTCTTTTCAGATCAGGCTTGCGCTTTCTTTTTATTAATTTTTTAATTTCTTAATTTAGTTAGCTTCCACCTCAATTTGAATTTTTTTATATAGTATATATTATATTAAAATACAGTAGTGCTATAGTAAACACAATACCACGGACAGATAGTGTTCGAGTCCGTATAAATGTGGTGTACATTTAAGTTGTCTTGCAAAATGAATCCAAGTGTGAGAAAGAAAAATGTTATTCTTAACTAATATTTTTAAATTGTATTTTATTAAAACATACATCTATTTACAAATACTAAAGCAAAATTTGTATCAAGGGTAGTTTCCATGTCTAACTTAATACAGTATATAATGTTACCTTCCTTTACTTAGACAGTTTTAGATAAGTATTTAAATAAAATTCAAAAATTTCATTTATTAAAAAAATTATAATACATTCATTAAAGAAAATATTATGTTACTATTTTATATAAGTACTGTATTTTTATGTGTAAAATCTAAACAAATTTTTATTGTATTTTTTATAGAGATGTTTCCAACTTATTCAAACCAAACTTTCTAAAATTTACTACTGGCATTGCATTTGGAAGGAATTGAAATTCAAATAAATAAATTAAATGAACAAATAATTTTAAATAATTTTTTGGCTTCATTTAATATGACTTTTACTAAATTTTTTCTTTTCCAAACTTTCTGTGAAAAATTTTAAATTCATTGTATTACTGTGGTTATGTTGGCGTGTTTGAGGCTTACAAATTACATATTTTATTATAATTTTTGTTATTCCTATGTTACAATTTCCCGAGATATTTCATTAATTTTATTTCTTTCATAATGCAATTTAAATAAATTTTTTTTAATCTTCGACTTAATACGCCCGCATGTGAATACAAATTTTGCTACAATTTTCTATGCAATTCAAATAATTTCACTGAATAAATGATTTTGATTTTATCTTTAAGTATTAAAATGTTATATAGAAAATTTAAATATTAATAGAGTTTGAAAGAAATACAATTTCATCAAAAAAATAAGTTTTGAATATTATTTTTTTACTTTAAAATATATATCAGCATATATCTTAATTCAATTTAAAGTGTAAAAATTGATAAATTTTTCATATAAATTGTTAATTTAAATATTATATATATAATTCAATTAAGTCAGCAATAGAAATTATGATTTTATTGGACTTCATATACAAAATAAATTAATAGGGTTCAAAAGAACATTTTTGTTGAAATCCAAATAAACATACTATATTAGTTTTGATAAAATACTGGCTGGTAAGATATGATGCTATACATATATAAATAAGTAAAATAAATAAATAATAAATGTATTCAGTTATTGAGTTATAATTGGATATAATAAATAGTTAAATATAAAAGGGTGTGTTAGGTTTCAAATGAAATTTCAATATTTTTATGTAGATGCAATTAATATTTAGAGCGAATTTCAGTATCCATATTTTACTCTCTCGATAAAACGTATTCAATTTTTCGAGCGTTTCACCAATTCCAAAAATCAAGTAGTTTATATGCAATACCACAAATTTTTATAAACTATAATTAAATACTCTACAGTGGACATTTAAATATAAGCTAAAACTTGGTTAGACGACAGTAAAAATCAATAATAAAGCAATAATTCGTAATCATATATATGATTATGCGAAAATAATGCTATGTTACTATTATTAATTAAATATTTTTTAGTTTATTTAATTTTCTGTGTACAATTCTTTTTTAATATAAAATTCAATAAGCTTCCATACTCATAAATTTGGGAATGTTTTTGTCAGTTATTTTGTTTGAATAGTATAAGTTATAGACAAATAATTTGACTAATTAGTCGATTTGATCTGTCTATATCTAGAAAAAGTATTTATGCAGAATCTCATTGAACTAGCAAAGTATTGAAAAAGTTAAGGATATAAACTGAGAAGAAATAAGGATATTGTTAGATCAATTCAACCCATAATGCTATTTAAAAATATTTATATTGTAAATGGTTTTTTCTGAAATAAAAATAAACTTTTCATTTTATTAAAATTACACTTCCATTTTTTATGGACTTATAATTGCATATATTGTGGAGAAATAATAAGAAATGCAAGCAGTGCTATGATTATTTACTTTTTACTTTTAATTAAAAGATTAAAGTATAATATCAGTCAAAATATACCTTTTTCATATATTTATATATCTTTGTCAAGTATTTGTGCAGAATATTTATAACAAAAGTATTTTGCGAGATTAACTGAAGATTAAAGCAAACAAAATTATATCTATATTCTGATCATGAAGCATTCATGACATTGGATATTCACTGTGCAAAATAAAATATTTTTTCAATCCAGATTTGATTGAATCTCATTTGATATAATAAATAAATTTTATTGCAAATATTTGAACATTTCATTTTAGATTCTTTTACGACAGAAGCATTCCACACGTTATATCAAAAATTACTTCTTAGAAAACATTGAGGTAAAAAGATGCTGAGGAAGGTAAATATTTTTTAAGTTGGTTTTATAATTATTGTATCTTCAATCACAATACCAATATATGTACAATTTTAATTAATCCATCTTATTAATTATAAAGGACTGGTTATTGTACTTAATCGAAAACAATAGACACCAAAAATACCAAAAAATATCGGCTTGTTTGGCTTATACCAGCTTTTATTGACACTGCCCAAGCGATATTTTTACTTTACTGATGGCCTAATATTAGGGTGTTCAAAAACACGTGTATTAATACAACGCGTCAAACAACGCTCCATTGGAATTTCTTTATAGATTTTCGCTGGTATCAATGAAGAAATGTGTGTAAGACATAACTTTCACCTTGGTTTGGGATGAGGCCCATCTATACCTCTGCTACTCTTTGGGTCGTAGTATCCGGTGGAGAAACGCAACTCCACGCCGAATGAATGATGCATTCTTTCCACGTAAGTTTGGGTATCAACCACATCCACTACATGTCCAACCACAAATGGTCAGCACAGCCGAAGCTGCGGGCACTGACCCCCGTAGTACCGGACTTATACCACGTGTAGTGTATCGCAAGTGCAGACCTTATTTACTTCTATGCACACTTCTTAGACAAGTGTCGGCATGGCACCGGGATTTTATTCGCCTCTTACGACAGGTATGCTTTACCTCGGGAATATTCTAGCTCCTTCATCGCAGGGGAAAGTATATAGTAGAAAAGCACATAAACAGTAAAGGATGATTAATAATTATACTATTTTATACTAATAATTATACTATCTCTTCTGATTATTCAAATCTTAAGCCGTAATGTTTAAATAAATTTAAAAACGTGAATAAAAAATTAATTTTATTTGTTATAAAATAAGTGTAACCAAATTTGATAGGCGATAAAAGCAAAAATTTAAATTTAGCGCTTCAAGGATATCGAGGATATCGTTTTGAATGATTGATTTCTTTCTCCGAAATACACAATAAATTGGCATTAATTCGCTTTGATGTTATTTTTATAAAAAACGGCAGCAATTATTTTACGAATTATTACTTAAATGTATCTTTTGTTGCATCTGTCGTTGTTTGTACTCCTGCAGATTTGCTTAAATACACTTCATTTGCTTCGGTGTAGTCGATTACACTTCCTTTTCTTTACAAATTACATTTCATATCATTTTAATTTTCCTATAAATCATAATTATATTTCAGAATTTTGCATTTGGGAGCGAAATCCTCCTCGAAGCCGCACAAATATTTCGTATTGAATATTGACTTCCACACAGGAAGCCGCCTTTTTCTTTCTCAATTCAAATGGGATATGCGGTGCGTATTTGAGTATTGTAAATACTGTATTGAGTATTGTATCTGTGTGTATTTGTGTGCGAGTGTGTGTGTATGGCATTAACTTTATTTAGCGGTACTTTAACATGATTTAAATAATGAAGCGCTAATGAATGTTTTATTTTGTAAAGCATTTTTTATTTTATTTATGACTGAATGTAGATATATATTGAATATAGATATATATATTTATATAAATTTTTTTTCTTGATATTTTTGTTTTATTTTTGGCATTTACTTTTCATTTCACATTTTTATTGTATTGAGAACATTGCATATCGCATTTTAAGTAGCATGAAATTTTAACACAAATTCACCGATAGCAGTACTTTTAATAGTAGATTATTTTGTAAAAGTAATGGCTTGAAACAAAATAAAATTTTATATTTTCCGTTTTCCGTACCGATTTTTTCTTCACTGATTTGCACATAAAATGGCTCATTTGCATATGCTTAAAGGCACTTAAATTTACTTAAGCGTATGTGAGTAGTACGTATTATGTTGGTAAAAGATATATGAGCATAAATCGTACTTACCTTATATTAATCGGATGCTGTACTGGTCTTTCCCAATCTGTGTACTCATTTACAATTGTTGCGAATATCTCATTCAGATGATACGTGTATGTATTACGTACGTAAGCTTTTAAAATCTTGGAGCGTCGATCCGCCTCAATGCCGTATTGCACGTCACCGGAATTGAAGGAAAAAAACGCCTCAGCACGTGTGACACCAGCCATAAGGTCATATCTGCGTAAGGAAATCAAAATGATAAAATGAGTCAAAGAGAAGAAAATCTCTGAAATTTACATGAATGTTTTTCATAAGGTACGTGAAAATGAAAAGAAAATTAAATTCACAACTTTCTCACTTCTTAATGCAATTTGTTTTTTTTTGCTTTTTGTAATACAATATCTTGGTAGAAAAGGGAATCAGAAAATACATTTGTCGCTCGTAAAGAAGTAGATAAATTGAAAATTGTGATTTCAACAAATGTTGGTACAGAAGGATGGAAATCAAAAATGGAAATCAGCAGGTTATTAATTAAATCAACTAAGAGCATCACCGCTGCAGGAGTTGATTGCTATATGTAATAGTATTGAATATATTCAATGCAAAATGTATTTACTTTAAATAGGAAATGAAATTTATTTAAATTTAAAAAAAAAAAAAAAACAAAAAAAAAAAAATTCGCAAAGAACATATAAGTTTTGGAAAAGAAGTACAATTTTATAAGAATTTCTTGGAAATGCATTTTTTACTTTGAATAGGAAATGAAATTTATTTAAATTTACAAAAAAAAAAAATATAATGCAAAGAACACATAAGTTTTGGAAAAGAAGTACAATTTTATAAGAATTTCTTGGAAATGCAATTTTTCGAATTAAAAACTCAAAACTCCAAACACTCTTTTATGAATTATCGAATAATCCTAAAAAGAATCATGCGTTTCCATTGACACTGCGGCACTAAATGCGGTTAAAAGCTTATGTTTGATCAGTATTACATATGATCGCTTGAGCAAGTCTCAGAGGGGAATTTTTCAAAATCTCTTACTAGATTAATAAGCAAAAATCGTGACTTTGAAGTGTCTACATGGAACCCAAAAGTTTCAGGGTTTCACTAATACAAGAGGACTGATATTATTGCTAAAGAAGTTTGTGCATCTGCCATTGCGATGTATTAAGTTAGAGCTACCTTATATTGAGGTACTAAACGAAGTTGAAACCTTATATTTAACCACTACCATGATTGTCTGATAAAAACACAGAGCATACTTTTTTTTTCAAAGCTTCTTTCCGAGTCAAAATAAAAAAATTATTGTTTTACAGTGCCCAAACGGAACCCAAGAGAAACGAGGTAATCAAAAGACTTATTGCTTGGCATTTGTAAAATAGCATATATTTTTATTGACACTAATTTTGTTAACACAATCACATAATTTTTTATTGTTCAGGCTTTTACAACTTAACAAATAAATATTACTTTTTTTAAGAATTCAACAAATGCACTAATATCTTATTTGAGGGTATTAGTTTCAACATTCGAAATTTATGGAAAAAGCAAAATTTTATTTTTAAATTGATATTCAGTAATCAAATAGTGTTGGTCAGTTGCATGTTTTCAACAAGACTGAAATAGGATTATATTCTGTGAACGTTTGTTGTCAGCAGTTTGAAGTACAAGCATTGTTTGAGGTGAAATAAAAGTTATGGCGAGTATTTTCTAAGATTTAAATATTTTTTACAAATCCAAACTAAAAGGGAATAAAATATCAATAAGTATCAAAAAATCTATCTCAGTTTTTCATTTTTAAAGTATGTCATATCAAAAATGGAACTTAACTCGATTCGGTCATAATATCTACTCTCTTGCAACGAAATATCTCATTCACGTGATGAGATACTTAATAAATCAGAAGTTTCTCAAGTACTTCAATGCATAAAATGCAGATTTTTATTAAATTCATTTGAAAACACTAAGCGAGAGCACATAAAACAAATATTGTATGTTTATTATGAGTGCATTTTAAATTGTAGAACAAACTTTTTGGCAGTGTTCAGCATTTTAAATCCATGCAGATAACTTATTGAAACAAAATACTTCAAACTTTTTCATATGAGTACAAAACTTTTCCCATGGAACATATTGTACTTGATGAAAAACAAAAAAAGAGTAGAATTGTAGGAACATACATGATAGTTCAGTGAACTCGATGAATTTATATGTTTAAGGAGATGTGCGGATTGCTCGCAAATTGAAGTCAACTTTAGTTTCTCAACTTACATGGAATGAATTTCAAATATGCCATTTTTCATTATTTGCATACAGGACGAAGTTGTTTGGAATAGTAATTATTAGACAAAAAATTTACGTAAAATGAACGTAAAATGTATGGCAACATTGTCAGTAATTAAAGTATGTAGAAGACACCATATGTACATAAATCTTATTTAAGATAAGTCAATGACTTAAACAGAAGTTGTGAGATATGGACAATGAGAGTATGAAAAAGAAAATAAAGATAAAAGTAGTTTATATCTAAGCTTACTTAAAAAAGACTATACGTACAGATTAATTTATTTAAAGGTATTTGGCTATTATTGTATGAATTAATTCCTATTTTTTTAAGTCCTAGTTTTAATGATATATCATTAGTTGTATGTAATGTAGATGTTCGTTTATATTGGAAACGCATTTGTCTTAGTTAAATAAAAATTAACTGAAATTTCTAATTTTCATTTTCATAATAATCCTTTTATCAATTTTCTGTGTAAATAACATATAACCACTCCTCCGGAGTATACCCTGGAAGAACATGCGTCTTTATATTTCTTCCTTAATAATCAGCATATTATAGTTCATTCTTTACAACAGTAATATAAGAACAAAAAATACGAGTCGAGGAAACGCAACTTTGAACTCCACAATTCTTATATGGATCATAGCTAAAGTGTCGACTCATAAGCAGAATTTAAACTACATTATTAAGTGAGAAAAAATAAGAATGACTACAATAAGGATCTAAAGAATTTCGGAACAGATATTAAAAGTGTGCATGATTGGGAAGATGTAAACGTTGCTTGGTGTTGAACATATCTTTAAAACTAGTTATAATCAACTGACTGCCGAACATATTATCAATGTGAAGAAAATAAAAAAAAAATTTCACAAAAGGTTAAATGTTATACTCGTAAATAATCTTGACTATGGAAGTAAAAAAACCATATTCAACAAAAGTATATATATATCAAATTATAGTGCAGTAAACACTCGGTAAAATGATAGAATGAAAGATGTAATGTCAAGGCTTTTCGATGTTTCGAATACATTTTAATTGTAACAATTATTTTTGGAATATTTATTATTTGCAAATATTTTATCGTTGGCTATTGAGATGGTTCATAATATTGGACATACGTTTAACTGGGAGCCTAATATACTTCATTTCTTTTCTTTTCTTTTTTGTTAATTTATTGTATAATTAGCTTTAATTATAATTTAATGCCTACTTATAGAATATAACAATTAACGGTTTTAAGCATTAATGTTTTACAAGTACTGAGTATGCATTGAATTGTTATATTAAACTTAAACATAAGAAAGTTTAAATGATTCTTAAATTGTCTGTTATAGTCTGTTAAATGACGATAGTTCAAACCTAACAATAATTACACAACGAACAAAGAATTTTTTACGACATGTCTTATTCTATATTAAATTTAGTGAGCAATACATTACTGCAATTATGCTTACTTTAATTGCCATAATAATTATCACATTATTGCTTACGATATCATAATGTTTTTATGCTTCTTGTCAGGTTAAATAATATATGTATTCTCAATAAACGCAGTGCTTGTATTATTATACATTTATATAATGTTTACTTAAAAACTTTTATGAAAACCTCTAAATGGATTTGCTGTAAATTTAATATTCATATTTAAATATGAATGAGATAAATGAATATTACTTTACACCAAACTAATATGCTATTTTACGTTTAATATACTTAAAAATTAGAGTTTCTGAACCGGAAAATCTTGTCATTCGAAAACTATTTAACATCAATTATTTAAGCCTTGCTAATATCGTGCTAATCACATATTAAAATGCTATCACCTTAACTAACAAATCACGATAATTATATGCAAACAGCTACAGATTAAGAAGCGATTACAAACACATTATATATAAACACGCCCCCAGTATTGACAACCGCACTTTTGTAAGTGCAAAGGATGTTATATATTAGCGTTGTAATAAAGGCGAACCAATATCTGGAGGGATGTATGTAATGTTAATAAAATATGCAAGTTATATACTTATTAAGCATATTTGCAACTGTAATTAGTGCGGCATAAGCTGCAAAAACAGTCTCTAACGCATATGCAAACATACAAACATTTAATTAACCATACAAGCGTGAAATATTTGCATTAAACCAAATATGGAGAGAGTACTAGTGTATTTCAAAAAAGAAAAAAATATGAGATTATAAATAAATATTAATTTTAAACTTTCGTCGTGTTAGATTCAAGATTAAATACTGACATTTACACCATTTGTATGTGAGTTTTTTGCTACAAATCACGCCGCATAGGCTGATTCAGGGTTTTACATTACATTAATTAGTGCTGCACGAGAGTGTTAAAAAGCAACATACACGCACAATTCAGCGCTGGCGAACTGTAGCAGGTGACACACATGCTCAGCTCAGGATACGAGTATGAATGAAGTGTGTTTGAATCGATTTAAAATCCACGGAACTGCTCTACTTAATGGTAACGAATATGTACTTAAGATAAATGGGATAAGCCACTTAAAGTATCTGTACGACACGAATACGTGCAACTGCTTTAATTAAAAATCATAAAGTTTTTGGTGTGTTAACTAAAATTATGATATCTTTTAATTTAAAAAAAATTAAAATTTTTATCCTATCAATTGCATATTAAACAAATTTGTAATTATAACTCTTCAAAACTTTGGGAAGTAAAGTTACAATTTTCGCCATTGTTTACTAACTTTTTCGCTTGCGTGTAAATTAAACTTATATCGCTACAATGGCGTACAAGGCGAACTTTCAGATAACATGCAGTGCCAGCGAGGAGTCTGTACTACTTATACATACCTTGACAACTTGTTAATGGCTGTTTTCCTCATTAATACTGAATTAATTAAGATGAAAATTCGATGTCGAGGTGGGTATTTATAAGATTGTGCATAGTTAGTATGTAAGAATCCATGAGTAAAGTTGTAACAACGTCAGTAGCAGCAGCAGCAGCAGCAGTAAAATCATCGAGTAGGAAGTTGTTATGGTTGGGATATATAAAGACATAGAACAGTATTGAAATGTTGAACAATGTTGATATATTACAGTACAATACGTATACATATATAAAGTTTACATACAGATAGTTATACACAGATACGACTAAACATATTAATGTATATTTAAATGCATGACTGTCAATTTATACAAAATTAAAACTAATGGCAATTTAATTACATTAGTGAAAATATTGACATTTCCACAGCAACAATAACTTACCAATATTCTCTAGTTGCCCTGGTGTGCCCCAGCCACCAGCTGCTGCTATACCAGCACCACCACCTAAGCCACTACCAGCAGCTGTTGAGGCTTGTGCTTGTGCAGCTGCTGAGCCTGGCGCTGGTGGCACATAATCACCGCCATCAATTACAACACCATCTATGCTGGGACCGAATGCAAAACCAAACTCTGGTTGACGTATGGGCACACTTAATAGCTGCTCGAGGGTTCTGTCGCGTAAACATTTCATGAGATGTCCATGCGGTAAATCGGGTGCACAATTTACATGATGTGCAACTATGGCAGCATACTTGGCTGGATTGCTAACAAGTGACCATGGTGCTAAACCAGAGCCCGACATAAGTATTGCACGATTAAAGAGTAGACCTAAAATAAGAGCCATTTATATATATAATTATATTCTTTAATTTATTTATTTAATATACATTTTCATGTAATATAACATTCATATTTTTTTTAATTTTATTTATTTTTCGTTTTAATATTATTAATTTTTTCACCCATAAAAATCGATGTATACATTTTTACGATACTAAATTTGAGTAAATATTGATGTATTTACTCAGTGGACTTAATGCAATAAGTCCACAATTCCGCGTTTAATTGTTTTTTATAACGCAAATTTTGAACGAAGGACTACATTTTGACATAATAGTATCTGTATGAACTTATTTAAATGTTGTGTTTCTGAATCATTTTTTATAGTTTATATATAGTGAACTGTATTATAAAGTAAAATATAAAGTGAAGACCTTTTGCTAGTTTGAATGCATTTTATATGTACCGTTTAGTTTTGTTTAGGCTGTTATTAGGAAGTATTTGATCGTTTGTTCATCGAAAGTTAGTTAATCAGGTATTCGTTGAAATGAGTATATACTATAAGGTACTTAGGAGCATATTTTTTTTATTTATTAACTCTGTTTATTTTAGAGTTATAGCTTGTGATATTAATATTTCTATAATAACTGATTTGAATAATTTTTTATATTTATTTCTTTGATTTTTTTTCGCACTAGTTTTATTTGCTCATATATTCGTTTAGTAGTGGGAATACATCTCTATAGTTTGGCTTATAAAAACAATTGAACTATCAATGAATTGGTTGTTCGAAAACATATTTTTACTAACTATGAACTTATTCTAGCAATAAATGCAGCATAAGCATTTAATTTATAAAAAAGCTATTCAAAAGGAAATTACTATGTACAAAATATTATTCTATCAATAATAATAATTTCATTTATTACAAGAAATATAATTTATTTTGATTCATTATCTTGTAATTTGTCTGTAAAGCAAGCTATTTACTACTTTATTTTATTAAAAACGGATAATTTATAATTCGTTTCAGGGAGTGATTATTAGAAAAAATGATGGATAACTTTTTAGTTTCTTAGACTGTGGAATAATGTAACGAACTTAAAAACTTATCATGTATACTTTTTGTTATACAATATGTTCACACTAAAATTTATTTATTTAATAACTAATGTCTTTCACTGAGCTTATTATACCTGCATAAGTATTTGCATGATTATATATTAATTCTCATTATTCTCAGCTAATCACTTAACTTGAAAACTAGTTCAATTTAATGCTCGGAAACTTTTGAAGATACTTCTAATATAAATAAGTCTATATCAGTTAATTACAGTATTTTTTATTAGATTTTGAAATTTTTCTACACTGTTTAGAATAATAATTAAAATTTAATAAAGTCTAATATCTAAACTTACCTTCCGGCACTGCCATAGATGAAATTAAGAAATGCACACAAGCAGCTCCTGTACCATGTCCCGCAAGTGTTATACTCATTGGATCACCACCAAAAGCTGCAATATTTTCTTTAAGCCAATGCAAGGCAGCAATGATATCCATTAAACCATAATTTGCTGGCAGTTTCGAATAGCGGTCAGTGTTGGCATTTAGAAAACCTATTGGAAAAAAATTAATATAAAAAAATTAGAGATATATGCAAATTGTTTGATATAAGTAATAAATATAAGTTATTGGGAATATGTTTTATTTGAAAATTAATGAGTTTGTATAACTGGCATATGATTTTTGGATGTTTCTTTATTGCAGAATGACTTTCAATCGAAACGCTTCACTTTATAAATATTGTTGTAATATATAGTGATATGTGCATGCCATCTAAATTTATTAATTGACTCCAAAATCTGCGTTACTCTTTGATATTATGCCGATGAGTCATATTTATGAGACACTAATTTAAGATAATATAACATAATAAATGGAATAGGTTTCCGGAATTAAGTGATATGTTAAAATAAAGTGATGTGTAATAAATACATATACAAATATATTTCTTTATCTATATACATGTTAGTTCAGATTAAACTAACTAGCTCCTTAACTAGATATGTTCCATTTAGCTATTCGTACCACCTTTGAAAGACGACCGACATTTGTTAATTTTAAATTATGCAGAGTAATACAGGATCCCCACAAGAGATTTGATGACAATAAAAGTATTGTATTATAATATTACAATGCCAAAACAGTTGCTCTTTCACAAGCTGTCAAAGAAGTGCTACTAATCACAAAAAAAAGACCACAGTCATTCACAATAGGGTCTTGAGATATTAATTTATTCGTAAACGCGATACTCGTACACTTTTGGTTTTGCAAGTGCGAAGGTTTTGGGAATGTGTTTTCAATGCTTTTTGATTTTTTAACAGATATTTCTTTTGTATTTGCAACGACGCAACAAGATCGTGAACTGCCCTATTATTTCAATATACGTAAGACAAAATAATGAAATAGGCTTTTGAAATGAAGTGATTTGTCAAATTTAAACACGGCGACTTTTCATATAATATATGATTTTCATTTGTATTTATAATAATAATATTAATTGTATAGAATCTTAGAAAGGTTAAGTTGTATTACAGTATTAAAACTTTGAGTAGTTTTCTTTCTTCTATGATATGATATGATATAATATCAGTACATAAGATAATTGCTTGTAGGTGTCTTAGCTTAATATTCAAATACATATATTCTCATTTGTGTTGGCGCGCATGTACACGAAAATGGATATCGTTTTTAAAATGAAGATAATTTTATTAAAAATATGAGCTTATCTCTTATTTCCACATGAATATATTAATTAAAATCTATTTTGTCATTTTATTAAGTTATTGAAATTTGAACGTGGTCAATAGAATGCAATTTCCTACGCTAAAATCACTAAAAAATCAGCAAACTCGGCCTATGCAATTCGTTGTCTATCTATAAAATATGAATTTTAACTTGGTTACTAATTGAATTGTGCATTGATTATTCAATCAGTGTGCTAATCTTTAGTGTCACTGTCCATAAACAAATTAACTAACGATAACATACCAACTTCGGTTTAAAATTCGTGAACGTAGCGTTTTTGTCAATTTGCCTAGATGCCTTGGTGCTGAAGGGAAGTGCACCGCATTTACTGTGCACCACACTGAAATCACAACCTATGGAAATGGCCGTAGTGCAGTTTCAATTATTAGGCAAATAGCCACTCCAGTGAATTCTCCACATATGATGCCATGTGTGCATTAATTTACATATCACATATTTACACACTCATACATACATTAAAACCATTCACTATATAAACCTAAACAAACCGTTTTGATTATGTACATTTTCGACTGTTTATGTTTTGCGTTTAACCAAAATGAAGAGGTTGTGGCGGCGAGGTTGTGCGCTATGACCAGAAATTGTCAAACCGTCCTAACGTAAATAATTTTATATCGCTCACATTATAAATTATAATTATACATTTGCATGCTCGTGAGTATGTTCAGTGTTGTATGTTGTTACTTTGGCTCTATAAGTTGGAAGTGGTTATTTTTGTAACAGAATAGATGACCTATTTAACAACATCGTCGAGTAATTTGAGAACACACTTTGGGAATACTCATATAAGCAACAACTTAACTGGCAACTTTAATATCTCAAAGAGGTGAAGGTAAAACACAGTAACAGAAGAACTGAATCATTTATTTTAACCAAAAATCTAAATATACTATGAGATGTTTTGGTAATATACTGATAACAATGAGTTTAGGATAGCAAAAAATTTGAAATAAGTATGGGAATTTCTTGTGAATCCGTTCAATTCACTAATGGCTAACCTATTTATGAGAAATTACTGGAATTTTTCTATAGATTTAATAAATTAAGTAATTTTACTTAATAAATCGATTAACGTATTTAATAATAAGTAATAATAAGTTTTCTAGGTCAATTTAAAACATTTTCCAGTCATCAGCACACCTCCATCCCTTTCAGTACAGTAATCAGTAGCAGATGTTGATATATTGTTATTTAGAAAGATTATTTTAAACTGCAATGTAAGCAACAAAAAGAAGAATAGATAATAGAGTTCGATAGCCAGGTAGAAAAATTTCAATATAATTGTCAGCTAATAAATGTTTTTTAAATAAATTAAACTAATCAAAAAAAAAGAATATTTAAAAAAAAACAGCTCAGTCAAAACTCCATCAATGTCTAAATAGTGATGGTACGATCTGTGATTGAAGTATAATGTTAAATAAAGTAATAAAAATAACAAATATGAAAAGATCTCTAATAATATGCACTAAGACAATTAATTAAGACGTATTCTAAAAACCACTTTTATTTGTAAAGCTGGTGAAGTGTTAGGAACACGTCTTATAGACAGTCATTTAACGAATGATCAGTGCAATGTTACGCTCTTTTTCGTATTGACCAAAAGGCATGTACAGAGTGTCATGTCATAATGTCAATTTCGATCTTTAACTATTAATTTGACACTTTTTTTGCATCTAAACTAAAAAACCACGTATTTTTATGTGATTGTGCTGGACAAATTCACATAAAAAACAAAAATTTACTCATAAAATACACAAATTACTAAGGGCCATGTTATGCAGAGTGTCTTGGGCACGGCAAAATTTGCTCTTTAGGGCTATGCCGAAAATGCATGTTACGCAGAGGGTCACAACAGTATTGCCTAAATTTAAAAGAAAATTTAGACATGCTCACTTAATTTGACTTAATTTCATTTTTCGAAATTAAGAAAATTTAGCTGTCTGAACATTACTTACTAAAATCAATCATTATCACTGATTGATTTTGCTCGTTTGATTATATTGCTGTTTATATGAGAAATATAAACAATTACTATTAAGCTATGGATTGAATTTTGAGACAGGGTAGACCCAGTGTAAAACTTAAATAATTAAATCAAAAATAAAACAAATCTCAAATAATGTTTAAAAGGTACATATGATATATTACTTATGTTTCTATCACTACTCTAATTTTAATTATTATTAACAACAAGAACTTAATTCTTTTCATATAAACATGAAGAACATATCGATATAAGGATATGAAGTTTTCGCTATCCTTATGTGTCATTTCACGATGTCGTTATTTTTTACATTAAATGCAATTGAATCACCCTCATTGTAAAATGTTATAAAAAATTTAATCCAAACTTTATTCACTCTAAAGTTAAGTTTTATTTTTTTATTCAATTACGTTTATATGTTTTATTTGCATAATTATTTTTGGTAACGTTTAATTTTACTAAATTCTAATTTCAACACAAAAGCGCAACTGCACGAATAACTCGGAAAAAATTGCTCAGCAATTTGAATTTAATTTCGCCTTCTTAAAAAATATTGGGTACCCAATATGCCCACATATGCCAAAGCCACAGCATGCTAAAAAGTTAAAATTTTGGCTTTTTCGAATTTTCTATGAAAAAATGTTCATGCGATTTCTGAGCGTTTAAAATTCGGAACGATGCTTTTGTGGCAAAAATAAAATTAAACCTTTTTTATGTGTGCAACGAGGTAGACGGAAGCTGGTGCATGTGCAAATGCACGTCCAAATGCACATATGAGTGAGCATAGGTTTTGTGCACGTTCGTATCCTAGAAAAACCGAAATGCTAACTGACCACGCTCTAAGCCAGAAAAAAACAGAAAACATTTAATTGACAAGACTTTTTTTTTCAAATGGCCAGATCAGAAACTGGGTTAAACTGTCAGCACTAATTAAAGAAATTCATTTTAAAATTCAGCATAGAAATTATAAGCAATTAATAGCATACGAACTTTTCCAGTTTTCCAGTTTTTCAGTTTTTGTAATTTTTAGTTCTTGCAATTAGTTATATATATTTTTGTTAATTTTATTTTATACAGTTTTGTAACACTTTTTTTTTATTACTTTCTCTAAATTTTCATGCAACCAATGTTGGCTTACCTAACACGCCCAGTCTGTAATTGATGGTAACCACAAGTATTTGACCAAAGCTTGCTAACACGGAGCCATCGTATGGATTGCCGCTGTTCCATTCATATGACTCGCCATGCACGAATACCAGCACAGGATATTTCTGCTGACCACTCGTTGTGCCGCTGTTGCCGCTATTGCTCCCACTGCTGGAACCATCACGTGAGCCAACTGTAAAAAAGCATGAAGAGAATTTTCTTAGTTTGGGCGAAAATAAGAAATGGTAAGTGCAGAATTTAAAATTTTTATTAAATACTTAAACAATTTTTAAAGCTTCAATTTCTATATTTTATTTCAATTAATTTTTATTATATGGATTGCTAAATTCTGTTTATTATTGTTTATTTTTCTATACAATCGAAGCAATTTTCTTAACAATTATTTCATGTAGACGATGTGTTAGTTTATTTGTTTCATTAAAGAGCTGACAACCCACATAACATAAAAAAATAAATGAATTTATTTCTAAAAGCAATTAAAATATGCAATCAAAATCATTTCCCTAACTTTACTTCCTGTCTCTTACCATAGAACATTTTCAACCAGCAGCACTTTCCGATAGGCAATCTCTGCCTATCAATATCTTAGCATCTCAATAAGCATTGATAGATTTTATGCCATTTATCAATGCTCGAGCATTTGAGTTGTCCAATGAAATGTACATTTGTCTGGCAATGATATACTTTTATGGGCTTATGTCTATCATGAGAGTCGCATTAAAGACTTGCATGCTTGTCTATTATCTATAAAATTTTATAAGCCCATATATACTTCAACAGCAGTTTTAAGTTGCTTCCGTTGTTTTGTGTGATAGGCTTTTATCATGATTTTTATTCCTATTTTTATTGCTGTTTTGTTCTTTTTATCGATGAAGTTGTTTGTTGGATATCCTTCAAGCGGAATAGCAAAACAGAAATTAACTTCAACTTTAGTTTTTATAATGCATTAAAAATGCTTGTACTATTTTTGTTGTGTCAATTTCAATATACATGCAAGTATTGCTGAGTCAAAGGGAGTTTGATAGACAGCTTTAATATAATTGGATGTTGTATAAAATAAATTGTATAAATAAGTAAATCTTATTACGTGAGGTTATTAAGCTTTATTTACGTTTTCATATATTTTAATATTATTCCTTTAGGAAGTGAATATAAGGAAGAGGCTAGGGAAATAAAATAATAAAAATTTGAATATTTTTCATCACTTGATCTTATATTACAAAAAATTTTTACTCCTAAGGTAATTGAGGTTGCAGCGGCAGTTTAGCAGGTATTCTTTCGCTAACCATAATTAGCGATTTTTCAGCATTCTTCTGTCACATTTCTCATAATAAACTTTTAGAGATAAAAATAATATAAAAACGAAATAAGTATATTGAATTTAAGTAACTAAACAGATTTTTTATCATGACAAACTGTCAAAAAAGTACTTCCCTAAAAACCAGTTTCGTCTTTAAGCCAAAGCTGGGTAGTCACTGAAAAAATATTTAATCGTTTTATCTTCCTGTAGATCTCCATAATTCCTATAAAGAGTTCTAAAAGGAATACGTACTTTCAGTACTTGTGTTCCTAGACACTAGTAACAAAAAAGAACTGCAGTAAACCTTGCAGTATTCACGCAGTCCCTGTTAATAAGTTTCGAAGATCTATTCTTGTTATGTGTAGGTCATGCCAATCAGGAAGTTAATTGTGTCAGTAATAATAATAGCAACGATAATATTGTTGTTGATCATTACAAAGTTAATAATAATAATGTTTAGGTTGCTAATAGGTTTAGATTTCTATGTACATATGTACATTCTACAGTCAATGTTAGAAACTAATGTAGCTCGAAGTCAAAGAATAATAAAGTTATAGAATTCCAACAGATGCAGTTCACTATCTGTTTATATTCCCGATATCCATTTAACTATAGGCAAAAGTTGCAAGGTCTGATATATTAAGAGATGGTTTTTATTGCATAATTCTTGCTGTAACACATTCCGATTTTCGGATAATTGAACTTCCAACGAAAACCGTGGTCATTACTTTGGTTTTTTGTTATTTTTCTCGTATTTATTATTATTATTACTCAGAGGGGATGTTGCACTATGACCATCGGGTCTATTGTGCCCCTTTTGGGCTTAGACTAAGTTTCTAAGCCCTGTTGCGTCGATAAAAAGTATTACTTTATAGAGTTTCATTGCCTCTTCCGTAAGGATATAAGTACATTTCCAGAAGTGTATTCTGTGTGTACACTAGCGCAAGGCATTCTAATAGCATATGTGTGGATGACTCTTCGCTCTCTTTGCAGGACCTGCAGTATGTAACCATATAGATGTCGATTCTAGTAATGTTTTGTTTTAGTAACCAGTATCTTGTTAAAGGTTGTGACGAGGATTCCAAATTTTTCTTTTGATAAGTCCATTCAATTTTGGTATTTCCTATTGTTATAGGCTCCAATCAGTGACAAGTGATTATCCCAGTAATATCTTTTGTTCTGGTTCTCCTTGATTTTTATGAGAAAAAGAAGAGTACTGTGCCCTAACCCTCAGAAAAGCCATATCAGCCAGAATCTGTTTGAAGTTAACTGAAATATTTATTTATTTAATTTATGATGCTTGTGTGAAAACAATCGCCAAAAATAAATATATATTAAATATCCATTTGATTTAATAATTTATTGTACCAGTAAATCGTTTAATGTATTAAAAATTATGTTTTAAAGTAAAAAATAAATTCTAAATACAGATTTAAATAATTTAAAGTATATATGATATATGTTCATGGACGCAGTCAGGAATGTGGACTGAGTTGCGGTAAAAGAGTGAAATACAAAATATATAAAATCATTACAAATTTACGAATTTATGACTTCAGTATGAGAAATAAAAAAATGTCATATTACATAATAATAGTATCAATTTAAGCTTCCTTGCTAAATAATTGCAAAAGTGGTTTCCTTACATATTTGGGGGTCCCAGATTAAGTCAATTCATCTATTATACAGCTTAGTAAATAAAGATTCTTTTGCCACTTATTTAAAGTTAGATTTGCCCCATAAGTTCTTCTTGGCTACAATACTCATGTTTGTGTCATAACGGCACGATCTCAATTTTATTCGAAAATAATGCTTTCACCGTATAATAATGTGAAAGCATCTCCGTATAATAAAGTGTCATATGCGTCTCCTTTGCCTACGCCCATGCTAGTGTCCATTGATGTTAGTTTAACATCAAATGAGGTAACTAATCTTTATTAATAGTCTTATAAATATTATTAATAATATTAATTGTAATTGAGTAAGCCATAATTTTTTGTTTCATTGGGTTTAACGCTTCCGACCGTTTCTTTTTAATTGTAAATAACTGAACTTGCATTCAATTATAACTCCCAGTTGGAGTAATTTATTTATGTGTATGATTCCGTTCTTTTAGGTTAAACTGGCTATTCGGATTTCTTAAATGAAACCCTTCCGAAGTTTTTCTCTAAAATATTTAAAATATATTTGTTGGTTATGACGATAGATATATATTTTGTTTTACTACTATGACTGTTGACAGTTTCTTACAGTCTATCATTTACTGTTGTATGAATTGGCAACTGATTTAGCATTTTCTTGAAAATATGATTATAATCTTAAGATATATCATTTGGGGTTGCCAGAAGAAAGTTAAATGAATTTCTTTCTTTTTAAATATATTACAATGACAATTGTGACACATCCCCTACCTACTCTTAAATCTTTTGAAGGATTTTAAATATATGGATCAAACACTTCTTTTACTAAACTTATTTTGAAGTTCTCTTTATTTTCATTTCAAACTAATGGAAGCACATAAACTAGAAACGAAATATCGACAAGGGTTCAAAATCAATTCAATTCATGTACAACTTGGTATCGATTTCAATAGATTACTAAGTATATTCCTGATAAAGTGAATTTGAACCACCTTTGCAATTAGTTCCGATATCCGATAATATAGATTCAATATAGCTGCACCTCAATGCATCTAGACTTACTCCCTGTTAGAACTCTGTTTTTGGCATTTTCGTTAAAATTTCACTCGTTGGAATTATCTTCTACATTTTTTTTAAGTTTTTTATTTGCTGCTAATGTATTTATTGTAATATCTTAACTACATTTGTGAACTTTAAGTTTTCAGTTTTTCATTCAAACTTTCACAATAATTCAAGTAATATAAATTAAGTAAACATGATTACGTATTAGCTTCATTTAAGTGCTTCCTTCACTTTGTTTTCCTATTGTCTCCAACTCTGTGTGCACGTGAAGAACTTCTACTGGGCTAAACATTAACAAACCCACTAAAAACAGACAAATCCTTATATATTCGAACCCCACATAGACTTGCGGCAATCGCATCCTTGCTTGTGTAGAATTTAACAACTGATTAACAAGGGCACATAAGACAATTTGCGGCATTAAAAGTTCGCTGGTTTCCGTTTACTTATGTTCAGTGAATTTTCTTTGTATCGCATGCGGCATGCGGCGTGTGGCATGCGGCAACCGGAAATGGCAAAGAAACTATACATAAAATGTTGTTGTAAAAACTATTTACAAGTTTTTATCGTTGACAGTAGCATTTATACACTCACCCGCACTTCGCTTCGTTGAAATCATTGTACATTGAATGAGTTGTCTTGTTTAGGTTTTCGAGTTGAGTTTGGGTTCGGGTTCCTTTGGCAAAAAGGATGTGAAAGGAGGAATATAAATAAAAATTGGCAGCAACGCATGTGCTTAACTTGTAAAATGACAAAAGTTGAAAGTTTTAAATGGTGTTTGCATGTTTTGTGGGTTACACAAGAAAATTACTCTGATTTGTTTTTAAGTTTATTTTCCTTTTCACTTCTTCTACTCTCTACAGTTTTCCCCCACAACACTCAATCTATTACTTTATTTTATTACGCTTTGTTTGCCTTCGACTTTGCTTTAGCAAATATCACTAAAACTCGAGTTGGTTTGGAGCAATTGTGGCTCATAAGTAAATTAAAAAGTTTCTGAAGTTACTCAGCAACGAAACTTGAATTAATGAGTCGTTGAAAAGCAAGTTTAAATGCTTAATTTAGTTAATTTCATTATTAAAGTCTGAAACTATATTTAGTCATAATTAATTTTGAAAAAAAGTTTATTCAAGTTAATCGAAGTTCTTAATATAAACCGTTAAAACAATACAAATGCGTATATACGAAATAAATAAATAAAAATATATGCTTCATTTAGATATCAGTAATTCTCAATATCAGTGCATTAGAGTACCACATAGTATATATGAGCACATGCTCTGTTGCAAAATTCTATACTTTTTGGGTAAAGGACTAATTAGGTGAAAAATGCTATAAGAACTGCATTTATGTTAATGAGTTTCGGGTTATACATGCAAACTCCCAAAAATTCTATGTATATTTTAACTATCTTAAACCATTGGGTATTAAATGCTATTTTAGTGCACAATAGATCAATCTGGTTGCAGTGCTGAAAGGCCTTAGCCTAACCCATAAACCATTACTATGATTGTCTAAATTTAATCGCCATCAAATAAATTAATTCAAAATCGAATATTTTGTTTAAAATATCGATATTATACGCTGATAATAAAAAATTGCAAATGTCATACCTGGGGATTGGAGGAATTGTCTATCACGCCATTAAGTTCACATGACGTGTCACTAATTGAACTTTTTGTGAGGTTAAAGGAAAGGTCTACCTTACGTGGAATACTGTCAATCTTCCAACGCTTTGAAAAAAAACATGTTATGACTGGACTATTGCCAGTCTATGTAGGTAAGTTATAGAAAATTAGTTCAAAATTATTAAGAACTGTAATATACTCCGGGAGGAACATTTGAATGATATTGGCAATGAATTGAAAATTTAATTTGAATGGAAATTTGATATTTCTTTAATGCCGTTTATTTTTGTGATTAGTGGACTACCATGGTTGCCTAAATTCAGTTGCCATCGTTTAATTTGGAATTATTTGGCTTCCAAATACAATAATTCGGTTTGTTCATTATTCGTTACTCGTGAAGTAACGAGTTATAATGTGATACAAATAACTGGTGCATTTATAACATATGTTTTAAGGATACCTTATTCGCAATGGGAACAACGATTTGAAAATAATTTTATGACGTGCATATTTTTAAAGTAATGAAGATGTATAGAATATTTATTTTTAAATCAATATAACTTTTTATAGTAGTTGTAAGTTATATAACTGCCTTCATAAAAAAAATAGTTCCCTTTCATACAGGTATATGTTTGGGCTGATCAGATTAATGCTGCCAAATGTATGGGTACTAACACCATCAAGTGACAAAAATTGTGGAAGCGTTTTATATAACCCAAAATAAATAATAATGCATATCTATGCAAACTTATATATGTAAATGGCTAAATGTAAATGTTTGCAAAGAACAGGGCTTTACACCTGCCTGGATTGAAAGTAAGATTGATGTTTTGAGCAGTTTTCTGTGATATTCAAGGCTTCAGGCTTTTACTGGTTACAGCTTCTAAGTTATCTTTTAAATTATAAATTAATCATGCCGTCATATAAATGAGCATACATATAAATGTAAAAAAATTAAACATGTACGCATAAACTAAAAGCCGAAAACGTCGATGGTTAAATTATGCACCATCCAGAACGCTATGTGGTAATTGACGATAGTCATAACACGGATTTTGAATCCTCGTTGTTTCAAGTCATTCACAACGTGTTGTGGTTTTTTTTCGCTTGATGAGTATTTTCGACATTGAATCTCATACACTACATTAGAGTGATAATTGTGGAAGAAAATATTGAAAGCAGAAACAATATGATATCACAGGTCACGTACAAATTTATTATCCCAGTAAAAATAATTCTAATCTCTTTAAGTCTTCGTACTAGCCTAATGCTTCTAAATCCTGCTTAATTAAATTTTAATAAAATTAAATTATATATACTCGTATTATATAATTTTACGCATTTGCTCGTTTCCATTTAAAATACTATATTTGCTTATTTGATTAACTGGCAGCTCCAAAATATTTATTTTTATTTTATGAATTTAAGTGAAAATCCTCGTTTTGGTAAATCCAAAAACTCGCATAAAATTCATGCTTTGTAGTGCAAGATTAGGTTAGAAAGCTAATAAATAAAATTTCAAATATTTTACGTGTTTCGCATATGAACACATGCCCAAAACTGGCACAATTATTCGCACTGGCGTATTTAAATATGTTTTTATGTGTTTTTCATATCTATGTTAATCATTCTGAATAATGTTATTTTTGTATAAATTTATAAACTCAGTACATTTATAAAATATTCGTATTTGTATAAGAATTATGCGTTTTTAAGTAATTTTTATAACGGGTATTCCAACACAAACTGTAATTTTGAAGGAAATAACCATAAGTGTATTAAATGCGATTAAAGAGAAATTTATTTGAACATTTAAATTTCTTTTATTTATATGAAATTTTATATCTCTAAATATACTTCAATCTTAAGAGTGAAATAAATGAATTGAAAGAATGATTACTGCATTGGGCGACATCATAAAAGAAATCGAATTTATTAATGTTTTATAAACAGTTTCAAATTCACTTTTCCCTATGTTCTATTTCTAATTTATGCATTATATCTTCCTTTGGAATGTTTAATTACATTCCTATATACCATATTATTTAAGCGACCTTTCTAAATTTTTTGTTAGCATGTGGAAATCTAATGGTCTGAAGCGCTAACTCATTACATATTGCGTTGCCTTTTGTTAGCTTTAAATGTATTTTAATCTACACCTGACACCTTTTCGAAAAAATTACTTATCGTTTACTAAGATCATGAAAAATTCTCCTTATACGAAACAAATCGTCAAACAGTAAAACTATCTTAAATCGGCATTAAGTTCATTAAGTTTGATAATAGCAGATTTCAAATATAGATTACAAACAGTTGCATTCAATTAAAAATATTGAATTTTATTGAAATATTTTCTTATAAAAACACTGTATAGTTTTTATGCGCAGAAAAATTGAAAATGGGGTATTTCCACTCAAATAGGGTTATATGTGCGTCACACATACTCTTTTCCTTCATTGAAAAACAATTTCTTATATCTAAGTTCATATCACTACACTTCCTTAAATTTTAAACCTGAAATCTCTCTGCAAATCATTCAAAGAACTATATTTGTGCATATGTAAATTCATCAGTAAAGCATTATAATCAATAAAGTAAGAAATTTTTTAAAATACTGAAAGCTTCGGGTAAGTAAGTTTTTGGCTACAGATCTAATGTGTTAAATTAAATTTTATTTGTTTAATCAAATAAAGTTTACTACGCTTATATGGATACTACACTTTATTTATTATATAAAGTTTACTACACTTTATTCACTTAAGATAAAATAGTCCAGCAATAGACGCAGTGTCACGGATAGTTAATGTTCAAGTCCGTAAGTATGTTACAACTGTGATCATACAATTATTTACTCCCAGTACATTTTCGTGACAGATGGCATCATCAATTTAATGCATCTGCGGTTATCTTCTTGGTCTGCTGGCATTGAGATTGCAGTTTAGTACGGTATAATGTTAAAGAATAACATTATTTGGTGTTATATGGTTAAACCAGATCATCCATTGTACTTTTAAAAAGTTTGCTATCGTATATCCGATGTAAGGGTACCAAACTGCAGTCATTAGTCACAATCATCAAGAAAATCACTTTCATTTCACTTTTGAATAAATGCTTTACATTTACATTTAATGTGTATATATTTATACATTATATATATATATTATATATTTTCTATATAATGTGTCATTGTCAATTATTATTAAAACAAAGAAAGCAATTAAAGTTGACGATATAGTTATGTCTTTTGTCTTTAAGTACTCTACTCTATACACTTTCCAAGAGAACCCAATTGCAATCATTTGTTATACTTTGGAAGTGAAAAGTATTGTTGAAATTGATGAATAATAATAAAGTCTAAAATATAGAAAGTTCTTATTACAGAATGAGTTTAAAATAAATAAATCAAATATAAATTTTAATATTAGCGCAGATACAAACATTAAAAAAAAAAAGTAACAATAATTTTAATTAACAATTCTATAATCCAGGATAAAAAGTAGAAGCACCGAATGTTAGCTGAGAGTACTAAAAGGATAGTAAAAATAAATACAAGAATCTAATATGAGGAAAAGTAGCTATAATCAGCACAAAATATTAAGAAATTATTTGGTGAAAAGTTTGTATATAGCATTTCTGCTCTAATATTGTTCTTACACATTCCTATTATTTTACTATCTTTTGTATAAGATATGCAGACCTTCTCCAATAGTCTTTAATACGATATCACTTCGCATTCTGGTTACTTCACCGAATAACTGGAAAGATTATCTCTTTTGTTTCCTCAATTTCGCTAACAACTCTTTTCCTTTGTTCTTGAATATACTGTGTAAATTTATATGCATACTGTATATAACTATAACCCTTGACACTATACCTTTTTTGATGTTATTTAATGAAAGCTACCATCTTTTCTTTTTCTCTGTTCCTGTCATTTCCTATTTTTACTTCTGTTGGATTTTCATTATTCATTACATCTTATACTTTTGTCGCTTCTTTTGTCACTCTTATTGTTCCTTTATAAATTTTTCTAGTCAAATATTTTTTTTATTTTCTGAATTTTTATAATAAAATATTTATAAGATTTTCTTTAAATTAATTAGAACTAATTTATTGTTCTTTTAAGACACATTTTTAGTTTTGTTTTAACATCATATTATAGGAACGAAATTTATTATTGAGGCGGATCCAAAATGGATTTCCAATAAAGCAAATAAGTTGTTTTTAACTTTTAAGAACCTGCTTGAATTCTTATACTGTTTATTTAATAAGTTATTGGATAATTTGTCAGAATAAAATACAGTATTTATAATTTTTATAAACCTTTCTTGGTAGCCTCTATCCATATACACATGTAGTGACATGACAAACCACAAGAGCAATCATACGGAGTGCTTTCAATCCGTAAAACCATTTCAAGTTAAAGTTATGCTGTTATTATCATCATATTTCTGTAATAAATACTTTTTTAAAATTTAATCAGAGACTAGATTGTAAACGCTTTTCAGAAAAGTAGAGATTGCGATTTTTTCAGGTTTTTTCAGTAGGTTTAATACACTATCTGAATCCAGCTTTTATGTATGATTTGTAAAAGTATTCATAGCACACACATCGTGAAAGATTAAGATAATTTAAACAGTGGCGATTAACTAATCACATAAAAGACTGAAAATGCATAATAGAAATTTCTTCATAAGGTGTTGAGTGAAACGAAAGCCTCTAGTCACTATCTCTCTACTATGGAGGAAACAATATCTAATTAGCTTCAATTGTTATGTATGTTAAGAACACTTTAGTATTAAACCTTCATTGCAGGTAACCACATTAGTATGTTCTAGACTTCTGTTTCACTATACGCCCTCCACTGTGATTTTACTATAACTCAGCAAATTTAGACTTAGTTTAGATATCTTTAGTTTAAAATAGGAAGAAGTTATTGACTCCAGAGATCAGCTAAACTTTTGTTTTTAGTTATGTTTAAGAAATGAACGATAAGGATAATCAATATTTGCATTCAGTTTTGAAAATTATATCGGTTCCGAAATGAAAACACTACATTATCATAACTCAGTAGTCAGATGACCCATTGTTTTCATTTTAGTAAAAATTTATTTAAAAAATATAAACTTTATTAAAAGTGATGATTGTGGCAATTGTTGTAAATTTTTAATAAATTTTTTTCTTTAAACATTTTATTTCTTTTTACTGAATTCGCAAAAAATATTTAAATATTAATTGAAAAATGTCAGGAGTTTTGTGATATTATTTACTTTGCAAACAATTTAAGTTACAACAGAAAATAAGAAGGAAGCTTTTACGTTTTAACGTATAAATACTTTCATAAATGTTGGCAAATAAATTAAATTTATTTAAAAGCCTTCTTATTTCATATATTTTAAATAAAATTATTATTATAGCTATATCAAGTATAGAAGGGGAAGTTATTTTCTTGTTAAGTACAAACTTATTATATGAAGCATTTTCAACTTGCCTCAGTGCACTAATACGTGGTACTATGTTTTATCTTTTATGTTGAAAACTTCGGAGTGAATATTCCAAAATAATGACTAGAAAATATTTCGTTTGTTAAATAAAATAGAAATTTAAATAAGAAATTTGTTTTTCAATAAAAAATGAAATGCAAAGAAATCTGAGACTTCTCTCACAACTACTTAAAATACAAATATATACTGTGTATATTTTCTATTTTAATATTTATGTGCGTATTATAAAAATACCCACAAATAAATTCAAATAATTATTGTAGAAATCTTTGCACGGCTTTCCTTCCTAACTCATTTATTATGTATTTCCATTTAACTTCCGTTTTGGCATAAATATATTGAAAAGCATTTTTCTTTAAATAAATCAGTGGTGTGCTTTGTATGTAAATTGATATCAATTCACTAGAAAGTCATGTGGTGTGTGCGAGTACGTTTAAATCTGTTAGTTTGAATCAGAAACTCACACAAAAGCTCTTATGCATATAGTCAAGGATATACAGTCAGTCAGGTTTAAAGACTGGCATACTTATGAACATATGAACCAACATGAAGCAAACTACGTACAAAAGTTAGGTAAATTGAAACCCGAAACGAATTCATTACATTCACGCCTTATTGCACGCCTTGCATGGCAGCTCGAAATTAAAATGAAATCCTGCTCGGCACCCAAACAAATGAAATGTATGCCAATAGATTGAAATGTGGAAATTTCCGAATGAAATGTCTCATTTAAGGCAACATTTGCTGAGATTTCACACAAACTTACAAAACAGTTGACAGAAATTAAATGCTCTGGGTAATGCGATATTAGGGTTAAGGGCACAGTTGTTAAGCAACAAAATCGGAAGTGCGAATGAGGAAAGAAAGGTGAAATGGAGGGAAACAAGCTCCTCACAAATTTATAAAACTGTACACAGAATTAATAATTTAAGTTTCATTCATACACAGTGACAAACACAAGTGAAACTATTTGCACCCAACTATGGAACCACACCGCTTTCAATATTTAATGCTTGAAGTTGGATATTTCAATGGCAATGCTTCGAGCTTGGAAATACGTTGTGACAATATTAAGTATGGTGAAAAGAATTCTATAATATTGTAGCAAGAAGTAATTATTTTTTGAATTAATTAAGATGAATTTTTATGTTGATGACAAAAAACCGATTTGAATAGAAATAATGGTAATAATAAGAAATACAAATTTAAGTAGCCAAGCAAATCAAAAACAACATAGACTTAGTGTTCCAGAATATGAACATGTGCTTTAAATTTATTATTTTGTGATATTATTTTGTGCAGATGATGAATCCATGTCTAGTATCCATACAATTGTCTTGAATTATACAACCAAATAATTTACTTTGATTAAAACTTAAATTTATAAAAACACTCTATAGGTTAGTCGATTAATTTTATGTTACTTCCATGTTCATGATGCTCATGAAAAAGAAAAAGAGATAAATAAAAAGATCTTCATAAAAGATATCAATTCGCATTTGATTTCTAAAGCATGTCGATTCAAAAACGGACTTTCAATATAAATAGCGATTTAGCTTACTGGTCGAGATAACTAAGTTTAAAGATATCAACTTTTCATATTGGTTACACTCGTTGATTACACTAATATTAACTAGTATATGCCAGATATTGCATATTCTTGTTGTTGGGGTTCCTATGTAAAACTTTGCCACTTTGAAGACAATAAATATTCTATTAAAACACAAAATAGTACTGAAATCGATATTATAATTTATCGAACTATGTTTAGAAACAATCATTTTTCTAAATACATTTTTTTTAGCACTGAACATTATTTATTTACTATTTATCTCAATATTTCAAAGTCAAATGACTATAACCTCAATATTCTCAGTAAAATTATCATCAGTTTATTTTTATGCTATATACAACTAAAGCAACATCTACCACTACTGACAACTATGTGGACGTTGTTGGTGAATTTAGATACTAAGCCTCCACACAGCATTTAGTAAAAGTACTCCAATTATCACCTAGAAATTTACATAAAGAACAGCTACTTATAGGTGAATTAAAAGGTAATAATACTTAAAACAATCAGAAATCATAATCCGAAATCAATACAGAAATAATTCTGAGGTTAATTGCTGAGGTTAAAAGTAGTTAGTTTTTTAACGCTTCTAGGACTAAATTCAAGCCA